CCTTTGCCCTCTGCCAGCTCCTGGGACTTAGTGCGTGTGCAGTCATTCCCTCCCACGCGCGCACACACACATGCATGCACCCCCATCCCACAACATACAAGAGTAAGACTTTATTTTGAGCTATTATACAATTGCCTCTATATACCCTACTCAAAAAACACATATATCGGGACAAAAAATATTTTTTGAAATGAAATAAAATGTTATAATAGATGTTTGATTTTTAATATACAATTCGTTTTTTTATCTATAAGTTGTTAAAATGACATCTTCTGAAAGATTTTGTGTGTGGCCCTCGACAGCTCACCTAAACTTGTTAAGTGGCCCACCAGCCAAAATAATTGCCCATCCCTGCTATAGAGACTCTTATGTGTTTGCAATTACAGGATTATATGTGTATTTGAAATTTGTAAATTCGGGATAGGGGACATGCTTTTTTGGAAGTCCTCCTCCATCCCCTGAACTTGGCTTATTTGCAGAATTATCTTCGGTAAAACGTTATGTTGGCAACTGATGTTCAGTGCTCTTACGGATGTGAATTTGTGATAACTTCTAAACTAGTTGTATAAATTGATTCTGACTTTCAGTGGGTTATGGTGTAACCTAGGGTTTGAGGCATTCTGTAATTGATTTCTTTTCTCTTAAGAAAGATACTGCTCTTATTGTCTATAATAAAATAGGAAGCAAAGTACTTAAAGCAAAAATGCTAAATTACTGGATTCGAAAATTACTGGGGTTTAAAGGCTTTCTGTAAGGAAAAAAGCTTCACTAAAAATGTCATACTTTATTTTTCCCCTAACTTTGGTTTGCTTGGCAAAAAATTATAATTAGGGGGAGCAAGGACCTTAATAGAGCCAAAGCAGTGCATTCTTTTGTGCCTAAAGGCACTTGGAAGAGATGTTAGGAGTGTTGCCCACAATTGGGAGCTTGTTGAAAATTTCGGCAAATAGGCTGCATTTCTTTAGTGAGTGTTGTACGGTAGACTGTTGCACAAAGCTTTATTGAAGGCCATGAGGCTTTCTGCAGGCACAGGGGTGGGATTACATGAAGCTTGTTCCAGGATTAGGGTCCTGGTGGAGATTTCTGACTGAAACACCGTGAGAGATGTGGTACGAAGATCTATCTGTTAGTGTTTCTGAGCAGGAGCCTGAAGCAAGATAGCTCAGTTGATGTCAAGGGCCTGTGATCCATTGATGGTTGCAGGCCATTTTCACATTCAGAGAGGACTCTTCCTCTGCTTTCGTTTGTTCAGGATAGGGCCTCCTGTGGTTTGGGGAAATTAGTTTGGAATATTTTACCTAATTTAATGTGTCTAATGTGTTTTCATTAGAAAATTTCAAGAGGGAGATAGGGAGGGAAGGAGAGAAGAGTAGAGAAGAATTGTGCTTAACTTGTGTTTTCACAGAAGTAATAGGTTGCCATTACTAAATATTTCTAAATGTCTTTTGCATGCAAGTTACATTGCTGCTATACGAGAAAATAGACATGTTTGGGAAAGATATAACAAGAGTCCTCTAAAAGGAAGCAGAAGAAAGGGAAGTCTATTTACTTTTTCAGTTTGGAAGTAACAAATATAATTTACAGAACTTTCAGCCCAACCTAGTGCTCCTTCACTGAGTTAGAAAAACTCAACACTTTGCAGGATCAAGCTCCCTACTAATAAACCAATTACTGATAACCCAGGTCTAGTAACTGCAGTTAGTTAATTCAGCCCGTTTGCTACTTGGATTCAGACTGTCTTGCTACATTTTAAATTTCTTAATTAAAAATGAGACGTTGATAAAAGCCGGTTTAAAGAGATGGAAGGAGGAACATGGAGCACTGTATCCTAGACTGAAATTCCAGGGAGTACAGCCCAGTCATGCCTGGTTTTGGCAGTTGCAGGCCTTGAATATTCTGTCATAAACTACTGTAATTACATGGCAAGAAGGCTGGCTAAAAATAAAATAGTTCTGCAGCCCAAACTGCTAATTTCTATTTTAATTGGAGTTCAGATGAGAAGCATCTGATTTTTATCTTTTTTTTTTTTTGTCTTAATTCTTACTATGAGAATGTTATACAGAGTGGTAGTAGATCAGGGACAAGCAATTATTTTGGGTGGAGGGCTGCTTAACGAGGTTTGGTTAGGTTTTGAGGGCTGCATGGGTCGCCCCACCCCTTGACCGTTACCTTGCCCCCTGGTTGCCATCTTAGGGCCAGAAGCCCCACCCCTAACCACTCACCTTTGCCACCGGAAATCTCTCCCTTTGCCTCCCACAGCCACCCCCCCCCGCCCATACTCCTTTTGGGAGAGGAGGTTGCCATCCTAGAACCCGCAAAGATCCAAATCATATACTACTATAACATACTTAATTTTTTTACAAAAAATATTTTTGTCATGATTTGTGTTTGTGTGTAGTGTATATAAAGGTGATTACATAATAACGCAAAAATAAATTCTTAGTCTTGTATATTGGCTGGGGGGGTGTGTGTGGTGGGCGTGTGTGTATGGTAGGCTGTGGGGAGGGCTTGTGTGGGGGTGTGGCTGTTTGTGTGGGCGGCATAGTGTATGTTGGGGAGTTGTGTATGTGGGGGCAGGGTGTAGGTGTGTGGCATTTGTGGGGTGTGAGGGAGGATGGGGGTGCTCAGGGTGGTTGTGCCTGGTGGCACGTAGCTATGGCCAGTGCTGCACATCACGGCAAGGGGTGCAGCCCCTGCTGGGCCCTCTCTACCACTGGCGCTCCCTGTTGCACACGTGGAGCCCCACACTTGCATGAGAGGGAAGCTCAACATGCTGGAGCCAGCTGCTTTGCCTGCCCCTGGATCTGTGCAGCAGGGAGCAGTAAGGCAGCCAACTCTAGCACATGGGGCTTTCCTCCCGTGCTGTGCAAGTGCGGGGGCTGCACGTGTGGCAGGGAGCGCTGGCAATATAGATGGCCTGGCAGGGGTTGTGCACCTTGCTGTGATGTGCTGGCTGGGCCTGTGCGCTGCTGGGCACGAACACCCTGAGCATCCCCGCCTGCTGCTGCTGATGCTGCTGCCACTGCCTGCTGGGGCAGTGCACCATGGGGGGGGGGGGGGAAGTGTGGAGAGGGTGGTCCCTGCACCCCCTGCCCTCCCACACCCATACCCTGTCCACCCAAGCTCCGCGCTGCCTCTGCCTCATGGGGTGCTGCCTGCTGACCAGAGCGAGTGGGATGCCAGGAAACCCAAGCAAGTCCCCTGGCGACTGCAGCAGTGGTAGCAGCAGCCCACCCGGAAGCTGCCTTTTGGCTGGGCCCTTCTGCCCATGGGGGTGGGAGCGATGCACAATAGGGTACACTGGGGGCATGTGTATACATGGGCATTTTGCTCCCACCCTCAAGGGCAGAAGGGGTGAGCAGGGTACAGTTTGTTGATGGGTGCCACAGGCTGGATGAAAGTGGCTGGTGGGCTGGATCTGGCCCATGGGCCATATTTTGCCCGCCCCTGTAGTAGGTGGTGCCCACTGCCCATCAAAGATAAACTTATCGTGGCATTTGTAAGCCAGGAAATGGAATGTAGGAAAGAATCATGTGTTGCATCATTTTTGCATATTCTTTTTTATAGACGTAGGGCTGGAAGGGACCTAAGTAGATCATCAAGTCCGACCCCCTGCCCTAGGCAGGAGAGAATACTGAGCTCATATGACCCCAGCGAGGTAACTGTCAAGCCTCCTTTTAAAGACCCCCAAGGTAGGAGCCAACACCACTTCCCTTGGAAGTTGGTTCCAGATCCTAGCTGCCCTGACTGTGAAATAGTGTCTTCTAATGTCCAGCCTGAACCTACTCTCAAACAATTTATTACTATTATTCCTTGTTACTCCGGGAGGTGCTTGGGTGAGCAGGGTCTCTCCCATTCCCTGCTGTTCCTCCCCGATAAGTTTGTAGATGGCCACCAGGTACCCTCTCAGCCTTCTCTTGTGAAGGCTGAACAGGTTCAGGTCCCGTAGCCTCTCCTCATAGGATCTGCCCTGCTGTCCCTGGATCATGCGAGTGGCCCTCCTCTGGACCCTCTTGATGCTGGCCACATCTCTCCTAGAGTGCGTCACCCAGAACTGAATGCAGTACTCCAACTGTGTCTCATAGAGGGGGAGGATCAACTCCTTGGCCCTGCTTGTGATGCGTCTGTGGATGCATGACAAGGTGCAGATGGCCTTTCTGACTGCATCTTCACATTGGTGGCTTGTGTTCATTTTGGAATTGATAATGACTCCAAGATCTCTCTTTGCCACTGTGCTTTCGAGAAGGGAGTTCCCCAGCCTATAGGTATGCTGCTGGTTCTTACTGCCCAAGTGCAGTACCCTGCACTTGTCAGTATTGAATCCCATCCTATTCACATTTGTCCACCCCTGTAACCTGTCCAGGTCCAGCTGTATCCTGTCCCTCCCTTCTAGCATTCCCACCTTGCCCCAGATCTTGGTGTCGTCAGCAAATTTGAACAGGGTGCTTTTCACCCCCTCATCCAAGTTGCAAATAAAGAGATTAAACAGTGCTGGCCCAAGGACCGAGTCCTGGGGGACCCCACTGCCCACATCCCTCCAGGTTGAATATGACCTGTCCACCACCACTCTCTGGGTGCGGCCCCTCAGCCAATTTGTGACCCATCTGACTGTGTAGGCATCAATGCCACAGTCGCCTAGCTTTTTAATGAGAATGGAATGGGAGACGGTGTCAAAGGCTTTCCTGAAGTCCAGAAAGACTATATCCACCGCGACACCTACGTCCAATGATTTTGTGATCTGATCATAGAAGACAGTCAGGTTGGTCTGACAGGGCCTGCCCCTAATGAACTCATGCTGGTAGCCCCTGAGCATCGTCCCTCCTTGCTGGTCCTTCCCAGATGTGGTCCTGGATAATCTTCTTAAAGAGCTTCCCCAGGATTGAAGTATGACTAATGGGCCTATAGTTGCCTGGGTCCTCCTTCCTCCCTTTTTTGAAAATGGGGACCACATTGGCCCTCTTCCAATTGTCAGGCACCTGGCCAGGGCACCACAAATGCTTGTAAAGCTGTGCCAGGGGCCCCTGGATAACCCCTGCCAATTCCCTCAGCACTCTGGGGTGGAGAGCATCTGGACCTGCTGATTTAAACACGTCCAGCCCCTCCAGAAGTTCCCTAACTCAGTCCTTCCTGACCGTAGGCCTGTGAGAGTCTCACCTGAGTCCATCCTGAATCTCAGTGGGGGAGTCCTGGTACCTGCACAAAAAAAATGGAGGCAAAGAAATTGTTAAAAAAGGCCTGCCTTTTCCTCTGGTGCAACCACCAGATAGCCAAGCGTATCCTGCAGGGGCCCCACGTTACCCAGTGCCTTCTTCATGCTCCTTATGTATTTAAAAAAGGACTTTTTGTTGTCCTTGAT